GGGGGGGGGAAGGTTGATGTCACTTACTCAGATTTCAAAACAGCCTTTGATTTGGTCTTCCATGTTGTCCTCATGGCAAAAATGGGGAACTACAGCCTCCACAACCTTACAGTCCAATGGCTCAGGAACTGGCTCCGTGGTCAGACCCAGAGAGTGTTGATGGATCCAAGTCAGCATGGCATATGGTAACCAGTAGCATCCCTCAGGGATCAGTACTTGGACCAATACTCTTTAATATACTCATTAATGTCCTGGATTCAGGTGTCAGAAATGAACTGGTTAAGTTCACAGATGACATCAAACTGTGTGGAAGTGCAGACACACTGGAGGATAGGCTGGGGATTCAGTCTGACCTGGATAGGCTTGCAAGCAAAGGTGGAGGGAGAAAAAAAAATTTGGTGGGGGGGAATGACTGAGCATGTGCGCACAGTGGAATGGGGCTGGGGCTGGGGCTGGGACCAGGCAGAGATCAGGATGGAGTGGTGCCAAGATGGGCCCAGGATCAAGGCTGGGGCCTGCTGCACCCGTGCAGCCTCTCCTTCCCCTCCACTGACCCTGGCACCTCCCACGCCAACAAACCTGCCACCCCACAGCCCCACACCAGCCCCAGCCCTGCACTGCCCAGAGAGCCCAGAGCAGGGGGGCTAGAGTGGGGCCAGCCTTGGCTGTGCCACTGGGCCAGAGGGGACGGAGCCCCTAGGACCCTCACACCTGCCCCATCAGGCCCTGCACAGCCAGGGTGGGGCAGGGTGTGATACTGGATGAAGCCACGGTTCCCACTGTGTTTTCCTCAAGGGAACCACCATTGGGTGGCACTTCTCAACCACTGCAGGCAGGTATGGGGGGATGTGTGCCCTCAGATCTGCAAGGGACAGGGTGGGCTGCCGCTGCAGACTGGGACTAGAGCTGCACTGGGCTCTTCCCGGCAGGGAGGGCCATGCTAGGTGGGCAGCAGTGGCACTGGGAGGAGGTTCAGGTGGGCTACAGTGAATTTTGAGGTGGCTGCAAACACTCCCCATTCACCCGTAGGCCCCTCCCAGCACTGCCACTGTCTGTTCCAAGTGTAGCTCAGCTGCACGCCCGCCAGGAAGAGCCTGGCACAGCCCGGCCCCAGTCTGCAGTGGCCCACCCTGCCCCGTATAGACTGGGGGCACACACCCCCCATGGCTCCTGGGTTGCAAGCAGCAGCAGGATCTGCGCCCCCCAAACGAGTCACTCATAGTTCAGTCCTGCACCACTGGCTGGGCAGCACCTGCCTTACTCCCTCCCCACCCCTCCTGCAGCCACTGGAAGCCCTCAGCTGGGCTGCCTTGCGGCCCGACTGTTGCCCCATGTTTGAGGGGGGTAAGTCCCCTTAGTCCCCTCCTTCCACTGCCTATGTTTGCAAGGTGGGCAGATACAAACCTGATGACCTTCAACATAGAAGACATGCAAGGTGCTCCACCATGGGAGGAATACCCACTATCACACCTATAGGGTTGGCAGTGATTCACTCACTAGCACGTCTGAAAGAGACTTGGGGGTCATGACTGACCACAAGATGAACATGAACCACCAATGCAATGCTTCAGCTGGCGAAGAAAATAAAACCCTGGCTTGCATCTACCGATGCATCTCAAACAAGATCCAAGATGTCATTCTCCTGCTTTATTCAGCCTTGGTGAGGCCGCAGCTGCAGGAAAAGAGTGATTTTAGTTGCCTCCCTTTAGGGAGCCCAACGTAACATTTCTTTTAAAAAGATCTGGTTTCCAAGAGTTGGTGCTTGCACTTTCTAAAAATGAGGCCCCTTTAACATCTCAATTTACTAGTCAATTTTGGAAATTGTAGCAACGTTATTTTTGTGACATAGTAACATTTTAATAACATTCCACATGTTTTACATCACCCCACCCCAAAATCTCTTCTGATGCTTTTCTGTGAATTCATTCCAATTTGCTTGCATCATTCTTATGTGAAGGCATCCAGAAGTGCATATAATATTCTAGTTGCAAGGCATCCTTCAGGCCACCCAAAAATTTAGTGTTAAACCAACACGAGAATTATTCCAACTTTGTTTAGAATGTAGATTTATGGTTTCAGTGTTTATAGAGGAGTGTAAAAAAATTAAACAAACATCTACATAAAATATTTCTCAAAAAAACCCAAGGGTGATAATATTGTGGGACTCTCCATCACCACAGTCTGAAGATAGCAGGAACATTTGTGGAAATTAGCAGGAGATATTTTAAAACAGGGATTGCAAATGTTTTCCAAATTGTTTTTTACACAAAATTTTCTTCTC